GTAGTTGCAGCTCCTTGCCACTAGGCCACCAGAGCTCCCCAATTTTGAAGTATTCTTTTATCATCTTTTCAATATATTGTATCTATTCATCTTAACTCTTATCACATAAATAGGTAGATCTATATAATATGTATAATATTTAAATGTATGTGCATAATTTTAACAAATGATCTTTTGACATTTAGGTATTTACTGTTTGGTAAGGAAAGAAAATGCTTGGGTTTTTTTCCTTTTTTTAAATTTTTTATTAATTTCAGTGAAAATTTACAGGGACTTTGAATTTCCGTTCATTTGAAAGAAAATACTTGTAGAGAAATTATGTACCATTTTAAGAATTTATATAGTATGAATTTCTTGAGATTAGAATTTATGCTTCTAGTGACAACAAATGATAATTTTTTTACTTTAATTGCTAACCATGAGTTTAAAAATTGATATTTTAATGTAGATATGTTTTGAGTCACTATTTCTTCAAAAATTTAGAATATTTTATAATATGTATCCTTTTTTTATTTTACAATAACAACAACAGTGAGAACTTAGTAGTTAATGTTGCATTTTGTAGGATCACCATTGTGGACCAAGGAAAAACTTGAACCAATGACACTTCAAAATGGTCAGCCTTTGGTTCTTCCCTGCAGGCCCCCAGTTGGATTACCACCACCTATAATATTCTGGATGGATAATTGTAAGTTTTTTTAAAAATCTAAACAGTCTTATAGAGTCTTATGATCTTGACTTATTATAAATTACTTCCTTTTATGATTCATAGAATGTTGTAAAGATGTTCAGGAAGATAGATCCCCATTGAAACAAATACCATGTCATTTCATTCCCTCACCCAATAAATGTTATTGAGCACCTACCTACCTTGTGTTCAGTGAGCCCGTCAACAAGATAGATTGACACAGTGACTGTGACCATGGGCTTGAATGTGACAGAAATCATTAGGGTGGTGCAGGTGCAGGGTGGGACAAGGTTTCTGTTGTTTACAGAATGAGTTGTGAGAGGAGTCAACTCAACAGCAACCTAACAACAACATCGACACTTCCTGCTTTAAAGAAACTAAACTGAGCCCCAGCTCTCCCTGAGTTTACACTCTGGGCAATACAGGTGTGAGTGGGTACAGACCGTAAATGCATCTAACACATCTGTGGCAGTTGTCAATAAATATCATGACGGGAAACAAGGCAGCATAAGAAGATGAGTTATGCTGATAGGTTAAAAAAAAAAAAAAAGAAAGATAGCCAGAGAAGACTTCTTGCCTTATGTCCTTTGGAAACCTGAAAGAATGGGCAAGACAGTCAGGAGCCTTAAGTATCTGCGTGGGATAGTTCTGTAGGAACAAGTCCTGAGCCTGATGCATCCTCACATGTCAGAGGAGCCAGGAGAACAGTGAGGCCAGGAAGCAGTGATGTTTGGTGGTTTGTTTGGTTGTTTTGTTAGGTGCCATCATCAGTGCTGACTCATCGTGACCCTGTGAACAACGTATCTGAACCTTGCCCTGTTCTCTGACATTCTCATGATCTCTCATGTTCAAGCCCATGGCTCCAGTGACTGGCAATCCATCAGTCCATCTTGGAGACTTTCAGTCCATCTTCCTTTCTTTCTTTTTCCCTCTACCTTTTCCTGCGTGTCTTTTTCCAAGGACTGGACCTCCTGACAACATGCCCAGAGTATGTGAGATGACAAACCACCTACTTTCTTCTAAGGATCATTCTGGTCTTAATTCCTCCAAGACAGACTTGTTTGTCCATCTGACAATCTGGATATTCTGTTCTCTTCTCTTACATCACAGCTCTAAGGCATTGATTCTTCTCCTGTCTTACTCATTATCCAACTTTTGGATGCCTGGACAACAACCGAAAATATCATTCATGGCTTGGATCACTTTGTGTTTAAACTGACATCGTTGCTCTTTAGTACTTTGGAGAGGTTTTTTGGAGATGATTTTTCCCATTGCAGCATGTCTTTTTTTGTTTTTTTCGTTTTCCCTTTGACTGTTTTCGCCATACACAGGAGCCAAGATGGCCCTAGTATAAGAAGCTGCATTGCAATCCCAAAGGACCGTGACTCGACTCAACCAGCTTCTCCATGGGAGAAGGATGGGCATCTTTTCTTGTGCAATTTACTGCCTCTGAAAACCTACTGGGGAATCAGCTAAGGGTAGATCATGACTTACTGGCATACCAACACCACCACCACCACAGTACTACAGAAAGATGGCAGGGGCTCAATAGAAAGGGCTTTGAATAATTCTAAATGAGGCCGGGGTTTGGGGGGGGGGAGGGAGGGAACATAGGCTACTCAAGTTTCTAATCATCTGAATATGTAACTATTGTTTTCCACATGATTAAGTTGTTTACCTCTATTTTTAAGCTGTTGGTAAAACATCTGGAACTTTCAAGGAAAGTTACAAAAAAACTAGAACATAAGAAAAATTCAGGTCCACCCAGCATCCTATTGCAAGGTGACATTTTATAGAAACTCAGAAAGAAACATATATTTAATTTATGTTTGTTACTTAATCTCACTTCTGCCTGTACCCAGAGAAATTGAGATTGGATAAATGAAGTGTATTTTCTTTTATTCAAAGGTGGGGAGGGGGAGGAGGAATATTCAAAAGATATTCAGAGAACTGTAAGTGAAAAAGATATTTGGCAAGCTAGAATTTTGAGGCTTTGTTTCACATTTTGGGCATGTTGTCAGGAAAGACCAACCCTTGGAAAAGGAAATCATGCTTGGAAGGGTAGAGGGACAGTACAGGAAAGGAAGACCCCAAATGAGATGGATTGACCCAGTAACTGGGGTAATGAGGGTAGGTGTGTCAGAGATGGTGGAATTGGCTCAGGAATAGAACAAGATGCAGAGCTACTGTGAATAGGGTTACTATGAGTCGTAGTTGACTCTACAGAACATAACAAACATATTTATCTCACTCGTTCATTGCAGATGGATCCTGTAAAGGGGCTGCTTTGTGATTAAATAATTTGTATATCCCTTTGCCTTCTTCCAGCCTTTCAAAGACTTCCACAAAGTGAGAGAGTCTCCCAAGGTCTAAATGGAGACCTTTATTTTTCCAATGTCCTGCCAGAGGACACACGTGAAGACTATATCTGTTATGCCAGGTTTAATCACACTCAAACCATCCAGCAGAAGCAGCCTATTTCTGTGAGGGTGATTTCAGGTAAGAAGTCAGCTTCCTGAATCTTTCTCCTCAAAGGTGTTTCTAAATCTGAGTAAAATATATTAACTATTAATAAATACTGAATACTACAGTTTTTTTAGTAAGTGGGTTCACGGACCCGGAAGTGTTTGAGAATAATCAGTAAAACATTGGTGACTGTCTTAGAAAGAGCAGATGGATCATCCGTACTATATTCTACTTTTTTTTTTGCTAAGATATATTCATCTTTAATTGCCAATATTGTTTCTGTATTAACCTTTAGAATATGTTCTGTAATCTGAGCATTTGCATTTGCTTTATGTCACATGATGCCTTCTATTTGGCAAGCCTTACTGCATAAATTATGTGTCACATATTACTGATGAATTAACGAGTTAGTTATATACAATATAAAGCACTGTTTTTATTTAGTAGGACTGACGCATAGTCAGCATAGCTGTATTCATTTGCTTTTGTTGCCCAATAGTTTTCTGACCTTTACCCCTTCTATTGTGCATTCTTCATAATATTCTGTTTATTTCAGTGGATGAATTGAATGACACTATAGCTGCTAATTTGAGTGACACTGAGTTTTATGGTGGTGAGTTATAGTGATTGTAACTGATACTCTCTCCTTCATCGTAGAATTTAGTTCACTAACTTCACCTCCATGGCTGTTAACCATATTTCTTTAAGAAACTTCTAATTACATGTTTAGTCTCACTAGCATAAATGTATGTTTTATGAAATTAAAGTTATAAACTTTCAAATTTATGTTGCTAAAACATTTCCATGATGTTTGTGCCAGAATGAAAATTCTTTTTAACTCTTGTCATGTGAAGAACCATTTCATGTGATTTGAAAAGAAACAAAAAACTTCCATGTATGTTTAGAAATATATTTTTCATTTTTTTTGTCCTGTCCATAAACATTTTCTTGTGATCTAAATAAAAATTAGCAAAATATATTAACCTGATAAATTGCTAACTTATTAACTGTTTAGTGAGTTTTAATAATTAACATTAAGTGAATTTTCATACTAAATCATCACATTTCCTATCCATTTTCATGGGAATTTATCAGTATAAGTAGCAATAATTTCCCTTATTTTTGTTTAGAATCAAGTTATCAACTTGAAATAACCTTTTTAAAAAATTATATGCATATAGTTTCTTTTCACACATTTAAATAGAAAGTAGTTTGATTACTTGAAGGGAAAATGGCTGTAAAATGTTTTCTGTCAGTGAAAACTGCAGATTCTAGATATTGAGTCTTTTTCATTATCTATAAGATAGAGTAGAATATCTGCCATATTAATTTCTCACCCTTAAAATTCAAAGGAAAACACATTCAAGTACCTTTCCATGATAAGGACAGGCACGCCATACCTCCTGCCTTTGTTTTAGTTTTCTTTTCATACATTTCTGAAAAATATGATTCTTTAAACAATTCCCAAAGTGGTTTCAGAGCTGCCAAGTTTACCTAAATCTCTGCTGTCTTGGGGACTCGCTCATGTCTCTGAAGTAACCTTCTCTGGCAGTCAGGTCTGAGGGTGGTTTTTGGTTTTGCTTTGCTGGCTTTTCCCCTGGGAATGACATTATTCATAGATCACTTTTTCATCCAGCATCTGTGTGCATCCAACAGAGATGGTACATTAAAGTGTTTTGAAAACTTAAAAAATTAAAACCTTAATTTGATATACTTTTTTACTTCAATTATTTATGAAGAGCCTTTCAGGAGATAAAGCCACAAAATGAAACCACTCCATAAAGAGCATGTAGCTTGTATAAATCTCCTAACATCACTGACTTCCAAAATAGCATTGTCATATCTTGGAGACCTCTTTATTTTTTAATTGAGAAAACAAATTTAAATAGAGCTGTAACTCCAACCATTATCTAAGATGCATAATTTGCCAGATCTTGGTAACTCTTGTTTGCTTGTTGTCCATAAAAGATTATAGTTATCAGTTTTGGTATGTTGGATATTCCATCCCCAGAGTCATATTTTTCCTATAAATAATGCTCCCACATAAAGAACACATTCTCATATCTGATATGCAGGAATGGCAAAATTATTCTGGCAAACCATAGTCAGAAAAACAAATGTGCAGCATAACCTTTATTTAAGTAAGTAATGGTCTCACAGTGATTAATCTGGCAATATTGGCACTGCCATTGTCCCTAGTGCAATCCAAAGTACGCTACCCATAATCATGCCTTTGCTAAAAGACACACATCTCCCAGATAATAGGCAGTGATTTTTATTTTGCTCTGAGACATAATCTTATGGGATGAGTGGTTAGATAAGAGATTTTCCTCTCTCTGTCTACATTTTTAAAACATTCGAACCCATAGAGAATTCATATAAAATCTCACCCAATTGAAGGAAATCTACAAAAGAAAATCAAGTCCTAATTATTAGTGATTATATAGCCATTATGAGTGCTTCTATTTCTCATTAACTCAGTGAATGATAGGTATTTTAAAGATAGAGTCTATGTATGTGTAGTTTAACAAATTCCACACCCAGTGTTAAATGGTTTTGAAAAGGGCTTATCATTTTAGACAGCTATTTTGACAGGGAGCTGTGGTTTTAGAAATACTCAGAGCTAGGAATTCACAACTTCTAATGCAGATTGATTTTCTTTGCAGCTAAATCCAATAAAGAGAGACCACCAACATTTTTAACTCCAGAGGGTAATGCGAGCAACAAAGAAGAATTAAGAGGAAATGTCCTTTCACTGGAGTGCATCGCACAAGGATTGTGAGTTAGCATTTTGTGTCCTGGTTTACGTTTTGTATAAAATTAAAGGACATTTCTTGAGAGACAATAATACCGTAAAGACTTGCTTTATACCACTTCCAGAGGCATCGAGAAAATGGTTACAGTTCTACTCAACATAAGTCGTAGGAATCTCATTTACTATTATGTTTTATTAATTCAATAGTATTAATATTGAAATAAGTATCAGTAATTACCTTATGATTGCTGTATAATTCTCATTCATTGTACAGTAAGCCTCATCACAATGTAGTGGCCTTAAAACAGTAGCTAGTGATTACTGATCCTTTATCTACAGATCTGCAGGGCAGCTTGGAAGCAAGCGGGGTCCTGCTCATCTCTGCACCTGCACCTGCTGGAGGCTCAGCTAGGGATTCAGGGTTCCGAGGGTTTGCTGGCTGTCAGTGGGGCAACTGAGCTCTTGATGATAGGTTTCTCAGAGCCCGTTAGCAGACAGTAGATGCTCATAATGACTCCTCCAGCCTCAACTTGAATCTGACACAATGTTCTCTCTTCTACTTTCTATTGACAATTTGTAAGACTAACCCTATATTTTTTGAAGTATCTCATCAGTGTTTATAAAAACTGATATGCCTTTTACATGAGTTATAGAGGGGCCACACGCAGTTCAAGATAGAGGAATTGCTGTGCAATTAAGTTGTTGCATTAGATGCACATCAGTGGCAAACATCCACAGAGTCCCTCCTCTTACACCAGGCCCAGAGCAGGCGTGTTGGAATGGGCACTTCTCCTGAACTGCTGACTCTCAGAAGCCTGCTGTCATCCCAGGCTGGAATACATTCCTCCCGGTGGCTCACAGTTCTTATGGGTCTTGACCAGAACAGATGTCTCCAAGAGTAACTCGACTTCAGGAGGCACGTGGGGACCTCTACTGGCCAGGAAAGGATAGTACACTCTACTCACTTCCTCAGGTCTCTGAAAACCAGCAGCCCCCTTATTAAAGATTGGTTTGATTTTCTGTCTTTAACAATATGATTTAAAAGACAGAAAACCAACTTCTAGATTTCTTCCTTGCTATGTTAAGTGGTCTAATCTGTTGATCTCCAACTTTTTTGGAGCAGAGGCACCAACCTCAGTTTCCTAGGGCCACCATAACAAAATACAAGATGGGGGGGCTTTAAACAATTGAAATTTATTGTCTCCGTTTTAGAAGCTGCAAGTCCAAATCAAGGTAGTAGCTATTTTAGTTCTTTCTAAGACCTCTGGGAGAGTAGCTATCCCATACCTCTCTCCTAACGCCAGGTGGCTGTGGACAGTCCTTAGTACCATCCTTGGCCTGTAGAGGCACCTTCATGCTTGGTCAACCCCTGGATCTGCTCTTCTCTTTTATGAATTACCACTTGAACGCAATTATGATCCATCCTGTTATGTACCCTCGAGTTTCCTGTAAACCATAGCGACGCTATGTACAGCAGCTCTGATCCCTGCCCTGTCCTGAGCCAGTCTTACTAATTCCAACACACCAATTCCCATCGCCCCAGTTACTCTATCAATCCATCTCCCCCAGGGTCTTCCTCTTCTGTGCTCTCTGTCCACCCTTCCCAGCGAGCATGATATCCTTCTCCAAGGACCAGTCTCTCCTGGTCACATTCCCAAAACCCAAAATATGTGAGATAGAGCTTCAAAATCCTAGCCACCAAGGAGAAACTCTCTCTCTGATTGATACAGGCTATGGTCTTTGCAATCACTTGTTATACATCAGAGAGTTGGACAATGACTAGGGAGGATAGAAGGAGAATTGATGCCGTTGAGCTGTGGTGCTGGAGAAGAGTACTGAATTTACCATGGACTGCCAAGAAAACAGATTCATCCTGGAGAGGGTTAAACCAGGCTGCTCCTTGGAGGCAAGGATTCTGGGGCTTTGGACATATTGTAAGGAGGGACTGGTCCTTGGAGAGGGACATCATGCTTGGGAGGGTGGAGGGATGGCACAGGAGGGGAAGGCCCTCTATGAGGTGGATTGATTCACTTACTAGGGTAATCGGGATGGGTGTGTCAGAGGCAGTGTGATTGGTGCAGGATAGAGCAGGCTTTAGGGCTGTTGTACATAAGGTCGCTATGAGTTACAAGCAACTCGATGGCACATAACAACATAACAACAAGGAAAAACTGGTTTCACCCCCTCCAAGAGAGATTGATTTATTTTCTTGGCAGTCCATTGTATGTTCAAAACTCTTCCCTAGCACAATTCTACCCCATCTTAAAAGATCCTATATCCAAAAACAGTTGTATTCACAGATCCAAGGGATTAGTACCTCAGTATTTGCACTAGAAGGACACAGTTTGATCCCAGACAATACTCATTCTCATACATCCGTGACTCCAAACTCCACAAATAAGATATTTCATTTGTTCATTTGTAAAGAAAAACAAACCAAAAATCAGCCATAACTAAAATCCAGTTCAGCTCAACATCATCAAGTCAGAACCAACTCACAGCTGTAAATCACATGGGAGAAGATTGCCCATCCTTCTCAGAGCAGCTAGTGCATTATCTTTGGGCTGGCAACACAATTCCCTACCCAGCAGACCACCAGAGCTCAGTTAATATTTAAAAATGTAACTAACTCCTTAGATGAAAAGTTATAGAACTGACAACTTTATCATAACAAACCAACAAACACAAAATCACATTATTTCAAAAGCCTAACAACTGCTCAATATCACAGACATCAAAGAGAATTAATTCATAGCTTTGTAACGTGCAAACTATGAAGTTCAAGTTTCCATCCTCATGCCCCTCCCCACCTCCATGCTCGGAGCATCAGATGCAGATTAGTCTAACCTAATGCACTGTCACAGAGTCTGTTGCAACTCACACAACCCTCCATTGAGTTTCTGAGGCAATAAATCTTTACAAGAGGAGACCCTTCTCCATGGAGCAGTTGGTGGATTTGAACTGCCCAACTTCAGGTTAACAACTCAATGTTTTGTGTCCGCAAGGCTCTAAGTAAAGGAACATGTCAGATTCCATGTGTGTACAGTGTCTTTGGGTTTTTTAATTCATTCATTTTTTTCTTATATTTACAGCATGTTTTAATTTTAGCCAACAACAGCTACAATTTAATCATTCAATTATTTTCATTCCACTAAATGAATGAAAAATGCTTATAGAAACACTTCTACTTGCATTTCTAATGACAGTGATTGTCATCTCCCTGCAGGTCTAGGAAATATCTTTTTGCCTTTATCTTCTCGACATACTCTGAGCGTGTCGCATACAGCCGAGTGTTAGAAAGTGTTTGTGTTGATTGTGTTCCCATTTTACTATCATGAAAACATTGTAAATACAGCAGATCCAGTCGAGCACGCTTGTCTCATTGAGACCTGAAGAGGTTCAGTACCCAAGGCCAGGCAGGGCTTGGTCTTTGAAACAGGTCGTCTACCTCCAAGCCTATATTCTTGTTAGCAATTTCATCCATGTTCTTATTTCATAAAAAATAATGAACCTAGTAAGATATAGTAGGTAGAAATAGTATATACACATGTTTTATCTACTCTTTAACAATTAATAATTAAAATATACTAATAATAATGGGCCGTATTATGACTCAATGATACCTAACAACAACAAAAATGACATTAAGAAGAGAATCACTATTCCTTTAATTGTTATTGTTGTTGTTATGTGCCATCGAGTCATCTGAAACTCATAGCAACGCTGTGTACAACCCTGCCATATCTTGAGCCAGTCTCACTGAGTCCAACAAACCTAATCCCATCACCTCAGTTATCATGTCAACCCATCTCATCTGGGATCTTCGTCTCCTGAGCTGTCCCTCTACTCTTCCAAGCATGATGTCCTTCTTCAAGAACTGATCCCTGCAGGCTACAATGGAGCTTCATTATCCTTGCCTCCAAAGAGAGCTTGGTTTCACCCTATCCAAGACATACCTATGTTTCTAATTCAAATAATCATATGGCTACGTAGTAAAATGGAAGCATTCTTCTCTTTGAAGTGAAAATGCAGGTCAAGATGCAAGGACACAGATTCACATGTCACTTTTTTCTCTGTATATTTTTAACTTAGCTTATGGAAAATTATGTATTAGTATCACTTATTTCATGATAATTATTTTGATTAATATACAGTATCTCCACTTAACTTCAAGAATCTCTCATTGATCAGGTCTTGGGAGAAGATCTCTTCAGTAAAGCAACTCATCCTAGAATTCTCATTGCATGATTGAAGTCAAAGTCTAAAATTAAAATTAGTCTTAATTGCATGAAAGCAATAACTTAAAGAGTTGTTGTTATCAGGTGTTGTATTGGCTCCTACACGTAGCACTCCTGTGTGTCACAGAGTGAACCCTGCCTGGCCTGTGTCAACCTCATTCTCCCTGCTGCTCTTGGGCCATTGTTACAGCTACTGTCTTTCCAAGATTCCCTTTCTCTTTTTCACTGACAGTCCATTTTACCAAGCATGACTTCTTTCTCTAGAGCCTAGTCTCTCCTGATAACCTGCCCAAAGTATGTGAGATGAAATCTCCTCATCCTCACTCACTTCTAAGGGGCGTTCTAGCCAGAATGCTCTTCTGCTTCTTCCAAGACAGGTCAAGTTGTCCTTTTGACAGCCCGTGGCACAGTCAGCATTTTTCACCACCACTGTAATTCAGAGGCATCAGTTCTTCCCCTTTCATTGTCCAGCTTTCACATACATGGAGGGGACTGAAAACTCCCTGGCTTAAGGCAGGTGCACCTTAGTTTTTAAAGTGGCCCCATCGCACTTTAAAGAAGGAGTTTGTACCAGGTTTTATATCTTGGCTACTGCTTCTGTGAGTGCTGACTGTGACTCCAAGGGAAGGGAAGCTTTTGAAAACTTCACACTTTGCTCCTTTTCTCGTCATATTGCGTATCGGTCCAGTTGTGAAGATTTTTGTTCTCTTTCTGTTGAGATGAAATCCACACTGAAGGCTACAGTCTTTAATATCTATGTATTTTTCTTTATCTCTATACAATAAGTTCAATATACAGTATCTCTATACATATAATTTGGTATAAACTTGCATGAAATGTCACACCTCAAGGCAGTCACAGGTTAACTTCTTTTTCCTCTTTGTAACCTCCTTATTTGTTTATCCTATCAGGCCAACTCCCATTATTCACTGGATAAAAGAGGATGGAACACTACCTGCCAACCGGACATTTTATAAGAACTTTAGGAAAACACTGCAGATCCTTCATGTTTCAGAAGCCGACTCCGGAAAATACCAGTGTATAGCTAAAAATCCATTCGGAGTCATCCACCATACCATTTCTGTTACTGTTAAAGGTATCATTGTGTGAAATTCATTTCTTTTGCTTTCATCAAAGATTGTGTAGCTTTAGTTAAATGCACCTTTGATTTTGTTCTTCAGTAATCAATAAAAGTGTGTATCAACATCATGGTCCCTTAAATCCCTTCGCCTTGCTACTTACAGCCCAGCCTCTCTAGTGGTTCAAATCCAACCAGCAGTTTCTTGTGAGAAGAATGGGCAGATTCCAGGAAAATCCACTGGAAAGTCATATGTGATTCAGTTCTGACTCAATAGCAATGAGAGAGAGAGAAAGATGGAGGTGGGGGAAAGAGAGAGATAAATTAGCAGTTGTCAAGCACGACGACCCTACTGTGATTAAGTGGCCTGAATGAAGCCTTTCTATAACTATCGACATTTACCAAAGTTCATAGAGTTTCCGGAGGCAAGTTGTTTTAATTTCTTATTTTGATAACTGTACTATATAGGGAAGGGATCTGGTTGCAACCTGATTAAGCATTTGGCTGCCAACCAACCTACCAATCACTCCCTGAGATACAGTTTGATTCACTAAAGAATACAGCCTGGGCAACACTATGGGGCGATTCTATATCCTTTACGATCATTATGAGTCAGATACCATGATTTGTAACACATCAGCGTTGGAGGTCTATGGGAAGATCTGATACCTTCTTCTTAGCTTTTTAAATGTAGATTGTTTTAATTGGCTCAGACTTTAAAATTCATATTTCTCAGCTCCACCTACAGAGATAGAAGGGGCCCTGGTAGTGTATGGCAAAAGGTGTCAGACTGGTATCCAAAAGATCAGAAGTTCAAATCCACCAGCTGCTCCTCCGGAGAAAGTTGAACAGTCTCCTTCCATAAAGATTTATCACTTCAGAGACCTGGTGATGGAGGGTTGCTTTCAAAGACAGTGGTTGTTGATGTCACGCATGCATACTGCATTTTATTGTGCTTTGCAAATACTGCTCTTTTCACCAGTTGGAAGTTTGTGGCATTTGTGCCGTGAGCAAGTCTCTGGACACCATTTTTCCAACAGCATATTGTGCTCACCTCATTTCTCTGTGTCGCACTTTGGTGATTCTCCTGATATGTCACAATTTCTCAGAGTACCGCTTCACACCTACCAGACTGCAATGCAGTGTAAACAAAACTTTCATATGCACGGGAACCCAACAATTTATGGGGCTCCCTCTATTCCAATATTTGCTTTATTATTGTGATCTGGAACCAAATATCTCTGAAGTCTGCCTGTAATTGTGAATTGCTCTACACCTTTGATAAAGTTGCCACCTCTTTGATGTATAATTTCAACTAAAATTAGTTGATGACATTTGTATCAAAAGAATCTAGGAAGAACACAAGACATATTAGTGAGTCTCTTTTAACATTCAATTTAAAATCTCAAGTGGTGTTTGAAGTATCGCTTAAAAGCCCATTCACTCTATAAAAATGAGATTAAATTAAAAAATGAGATTAAGTAAATGTTTGGCAAAATATAGTATTATTAAAGAAGTCCAGTGTAGACTCCTGCTAAAATGCATACAGGCTTGATTCTGACTGCTGTTTTGTTGTTTTCTCCATACAGCGGCTCCGTACTGGATCATGGCACCCAGAAATCTTGTGTTGTCCCCAGGAGAGGATGGAAGCCTGATCTGCCGAGCAAATGGCAACCCCAAGCCCAGAATTAGCTGGTTAACAAACGGAGTCCCCATAGAAAGTAAGTTACCTTGACTAGCTCTGAGAGCTGTCAGTCTAATGAGAGCTGTCAGTCTACATCTGAACAAATGGTGAAAATATAATTTTGAGTTAAGGAAAGACGTCATCTATAAATTGAACAGAGTCACCAAATTAAATTTAGATAATATTGAATTTATTATTATTTTGGATGTGAACATAATGGATTAGAACTTGATAATATTTCCTCTTTTTAAAAAAAGGATCATGACTAAAATGGCATGGAAAGAAATTAAAGTTTAGATTATCTCCTTGGTTAAGATAATTAAGTGAGTGATGGGAGAATTGTGGAATCGAAAGCATTGACTGGGGAGCATAGGAATGGAGCTGGTGGACGTGCCAAGAAGAAGCAGAGCTGCCTTACTGTGAAATGTGTCCA